TCAGGCTTGATGGCTCTGAATTTCTACCCCTCAAACCCCAACTCAGCCTAACTCGGTGGCATTCAATCCATAATTGACTTCCCTGAGCTGTAACAATGTTCAGAATAATGTAGTTTGCATCTCTGGGTATCAGAAAAACCTGGTGATTTGCTTAGGCAGGTTGGTTCTGTTAACTGAGGGTTATCTCTTAAGTGGAGGTGCAGCAGTTTTGCTTTCCTGCTTGCGTAATGGGGGCCAATCTGTAGAATACTCTTCCAAGGGAGCATTCACAATGGAGTGGTCTGTCCCATGTGTCTTTTTGTTTATTTGTTTTGTTTAAAAGACAGGGTCTCCCTCTGTTGCCCAGGCTGGAGTGCAGTGGCATGACTATAGCTCACTGTAGTCTTGAACTCCCGGGCTCAAGTGATCCTCCTGCCTCAGCCTTCTGTGTAGTGAGACCACAGGCACAAGCCACTGTACTTGGCTAATTTTTTAATTTTTTGTAGAGACAGGGTCTTGCTATGTTGCCCAGGCCGGCCTCGAACTCCAGGTCTCAAGCATTCTCCCACCTTGGCCCCCCAAAGTTCTGGGATTACAGCTGTGAACTCCTGTGTCCCGCCTCATATGTCTTTTAGAAAGACGTTTTACCAGCCTTCACTCTCTGACAGAGAACCAGGCCACCCCATGCTTAGGAAACTAAAGAACAAACTCTGAAATTTACAGTTTGCTGCTGATAATATCAGCCAAAGATATGGAGAAGGAAAGAGAAAACATTTGCCCCAGTCTCTCCCCTCATGAAAACTTGAACTTCCAGATTCTCCAGGGAACTGACTATAGAAGAATGCTGCTCTGGGAGTTAGAACCTGGGCTCCAGTCTATCTCTGTGGCTCGCTGGCCATGACAGTATGGGAAAGCCCTGGATGTTTTTGTCTTTTGCCCTTTCTCTATTAAAAGAAAAAGCTGGCCAGGTGTGGTGGTTCACACCTGTAATCCCAGCACTTTGGGAGGCTGAGGCAGGCGGATCACTTGAGGTCAGGAGTTCGAGTCCAGCCCGGCCAACATGGTGAAACTCCGTCTCTACTAAAAATACAAAAACTAGCTGGGCGTGATGGCACATGTCTGTAATCCCAGATACTCAGGAGGCTGAGGCACATGAATTGCTTGAACCCAGGAGGGCGGAAGTTGCAGTGAGCCGAGCTTGCCCCACTGCATACTAGCCTGGGCGGTAGAGCAAGACTCTGTCTCAAAAAAAAAAAAAAAGGAAAAGCCGACTGGATATTTCCAGGTTTGGTACTTTTACGATTCAATGGCATGAGAGAGATTTTATTAGTGGTAAGAGAAATAGGGAAAATCAGAGAGAAGGTACTCTTAGAATCTTCAGGGTCAAGAGGCAATGATGTAAACATAAATGTGAACTTGCTCCTGGATTGTTTATTCAGAGAGACATCCCCAACATAGTAGAGCAGTCAATATTCTCCCTCAGTTAAAGATCTCTGGTTCTGTGGGCAGACAAAAGCACACATCTCTTCTTCCTTGACAGGGGGAGAACAACCTCTAGGATGGGGTCTTCTGCCTTTGGGCACTTGTCACAAGATGTTCTCTAGCAACAATGGCTCCCAAGACTCCCAAGTTTCCAGATTCCTGTAGTACCATCTTATCTGGGGTTAGGGAATACTACAGGATAGTGATAATGACATGGTTAATCAGGAACACCTGCTGAACAGCGTAGCTGATAGGAGAGAACAAAAGTCATGCTCTTACACAGGGGCATCCTCCAATTTCTGTTTCTGCTATTGGGTAGAACACACCTTTAACTTAGATTCCAATCTGGAAGCAAGTCCCCTCACAAAAGGCATCTTTTGCCCTTCCTTTTACTGTAATATGACAATAAACACTTATGTATGTATGTATGCATATATTTATTTATTTATTCTTGAGACAGAGTCTTGCTCTGTCACCAGACTGGAGTGCAGTGGCACAATATCAGCTCACTGCAACATTCACCTCCCAGGTTCAAGCGATTCTCCTGCCTCAGCCTCCTGAGTAGGTGGGATTACAGGCATGCGCCACCATGCCCAGCTAATTTTTGTATTTTTAGTACAGACGAGGTTTCGCCATGTTGGTCAGGCTGGTCTCAAACTCCTGACCTCATGATCTGCCTGCCTTGGCCTCCCAAAGTGCTGGGATTACAGGCATGAGCCACCGCACCCAGCCTTATCTTTTTTTTTTTAATCTTATTTTTCATTTTTAAATTTTTTTGTAGAGACAGAGTTTTGCCATGTTGCCTAAGCTGGTCTCGAACTCCTGTGATCTGCCTGCCTCAGCCTCCCAAACTATTAGGATTACAGGTGTGAGCCACCATGCCCAGCCTAACAAAAGCCGTTTAGAGGAACATCAAAAGCAGAAAAATGTAACCAATGGTGACAGAACTCACAACAATAGCTACATTGGGGGTAGGGGAATTTATTGGATCTGGTGCAAGGGAGCTTTCTGGGTTGCTAGAAATGTGCTATATCTTTAGCTGTATCACTAGCCGTTTCTGGGTTGCTAGAAATGTGCTATATCTTTAGCTGTATCTCTATATAGATTTGTATTTATATCTATAGTTATCTATATATTATTCATCCCAAATAGTTTTGGGCTTTATTACACCTGAGTACTTTAAACAAATGAACAAACAAAAATAGCTGAATACCTTGTCTTACCTCTTGGTTATATGTCTTGATGTGAAATTGCTGAGTCATAAGTTTAAGAAGCTGTGGCCACACTGTTATCCAAAGTGGTTGTATTAGTTACCATCATTGTATGAGGGTACCAGTTACTCCATATCTCACCAACACTTGTGGTCCTTTTAAGTTTAGCCATTTTAGTGAGTATGTACTATTAACATCCTGTATTTTAATTTACGTTTCTAGAAGGCTAATTTTTTCGTATGCTTATTGGCCATTTGGATGTTCTCTTTTGTAAAGTGCCCACTTATTCAAGTCTTTAGCCCATTTGTCTATTAGGTCATCTATCTTTTTCTTACTGGTTGTCGAGGTTTTTATATATACTGGATACACGGCCTTCGATAAATATATTGAAAATAGGAAAATATCTTCTAGTCTGGTTCCTGCCTTTTCTTATTCTCTTTGTATTGTATTTATTATTGTCTTTTTTGAGCGAAGTAAAATTTACTTCTACTGATCTATTTTCCAGGTCTCTAATCCTATCTTCTGTTGTGTCCAGTTTGCTATTTTACCTATTCAGTGAGTTCTTAATTTCAAATATTGGATATTTCACTTCTAGAATGTTTGCTTGATTCTTTTTAAAATAGATTCCAATTTTCTATTGAAATTGTCCATTTTAAAATCATTTTATCAACATTTCCTCTATTTTCTTTAATATATAAACATAGTTATACTAGAGTCCTTGTTTGCTAACTCAGGTAATGGGATCATCTGTATGTCAACTTTTATCATATATTTTCCCTCTTGATTGTTGGTCACATTTTCCTGCCTTTTGCAATAATTCATGTTGTGCACCAAACATTATTTATATTAGATTCATAGAGGCCCCAGATGATGTCTCTCATCAGACAGATTCCTCCCTTTTCTTTGTTAGGCAGGTAGAGCAAGGTAGGCTGGCTACCTAAAGCCAATTAAGGCTTGAGTTAGGTTAGGGCTGAGTTTCAGTTCTAGTAAAATTTAGTCCAACTTTGGCTTGTTCTTGTTCTGAAGTTATGACCCTCCTGAGTTTTGAGCTTACAGCCTGGTTGATCCTTGTCTCCTCAGCCCTGAAGGAGTATGGGAGATTTGCATCTATCCTTTGGTGGTTTTGAGCTTAATTCGTTAGCTGCATTCCCCTCCCTCCTTTCCCCCCACCCACTACATACACACATAGCTTCAAATCTTTGTAAAATGTTTTGAGAGGAAATACCAGTGTGTGTGTGAGGAAATCCCTCTTCCTCTATTCTCTTCAGCATCATGGGAATCATGGAAGATTTTGTTTTGTCTTTTAGAGGCCCTCAGCCCAGCTTTCTAGCCTCCCTTGCATAGCCAGAATTCAGATGTCCCATAGGGAAAACTTGTCATGCATTTAGAGTGCCTCAAATTTCCAATATGTTTTGCTAATCCTTTTTTAACTATCACAAGTCTTACTGGTTTCTCTTTCTCTCATATATGACTCTCTGCCTAGTCCAAGTCTCAGCCACACTATGGTTCCCAAATCAAATACTCCTGGAGAACAAAAGAGCTGGTGATTATTAGTTAACTTTGGAGGGTCCCACCCATTGGAGTTTGACTTCATTGCATCCTTATGGCACCCATATTCCTCAATTTGTTTAAAAATATGATTTGTGTAATTTATCCAGGTTTCCCTAGTCGTTGCAGTGAAAGTGTTGGGCTATCATGGTCTATTATATCCAATGCAGGAGCCGAAGTCCAGACACCTAGCTTAAATGGAGTCAGAAAGAACCACTACTCAAGGCATACAAGAGTTAATAAGAGTGTGAGCAGCTGCATATTACACACAGCCTTGGAGAAAGGAGCCCCTCAATGGAACATGGTAGAACTTTGAGTGAGTGCAAAAGTAGAGACATGAGCTTAAGGACTTGATTTATGAGCTCTGACATCAACCTAAACCACACAGCATGGAACCTTAGATGAAGACCAGCAGAAGCCTTTCCAAAGCACTTTCATAATTATAATTCAACAATCAACTGTTTAGATTTGATTTTTCCAGTAAAATATAAACTCTGGGAAGACAAGAACTTTGCCTGCCTTCTTCACTTTGATCATTTCATCACCTAAACAAAGCATACAGACTTCTATTTGGTAGGTTATTAATTAATTAATAATCAATATTTGACAAATTTTGGGTTCACATGGTAAAAGTCAATACCATAGCCCCTCATCAGTTCTCTACAGTTGATTGTAAATAATTGTGCTTATATTACCTACAGAGTAAACATTATAGAATTATCACTCCAGAATCCTTTGTTTCTATGGTTTCCAGATGTTTCCAGTGTCTAGATGTTCCAGCTGCTCATCTCTGAGAAATCCAGCTGTGTCTCACCATGGATGCCACAGCCTGTAATGAATCAGTGGATGGCTCACCCATCTTCTATCTGGTGGGCATCCCCTCTCTGCCAGAGATCTTCTTCTTCCCTGTGTTTTTTATTTTCCTCCTCTTCTACCTTCTCATCCTGATGGGTAATGCCCTGGTTCTGGTGGCCGTGGTGGCAGAGCCCAGCCTCCACAAGCCCATGTACTTCTTTCTGATCAATCTCTCCACCTTGGACATCCTTTTCACCACAACAACTGTCCCCAAGATGCTGTCCCTATTCTTGCTTGGGGACCGCTTCCTCAGCTTTTCTTCCTGCTTACTGCAGATGTACCTCTTCCAAAGTTTTACATGTTCAGAAGCCTTCATCCTGGTGGTCATGGCCTATGACCGCTATGTGGCTATCTGCCACCCACTGCACTACCCTGTCCTCATGAACCCACAGATCAATGCTACCTTGGCAGCCAGTGCCTGGCTTACTGCCCTCCTCCTGCCCATCCCAGCAGTAGTAAGGACCTCCCAGATGACATACAACAGGATTGCCTACATCTACCACTGCTTCTGTGATCATCTGGCTGTAGTCCAGGCCTCCTGCTCTGACACCACCCTCCAGATCCTCATGGGCTTCTGCATCGCCATGGTGGTGTCCTTCCTCCCCCTTCTCCTGGTGCTTCTCTCCTATGCCCACATCCTGGCCTCGGTGCTTCGCATCAGTTCCCGAGAAGGACGGGCAAAAGCCTTCTCCACCTGCAGCTCCCACCTCCTGGTGGTGGGCACCTACTACTCATCTATTGCTATAGCCTACGTGGCTTACAGAGTTGACCTGTCCCTTGACTTCCACATCATGGGCAATGTGGTATATGCCATTCTTACACCAATTCTCAACCCCCTCATTTACACTCTGAGAAACAGGGATGTAAAGGCAGCCATCACCAAAATCATGTCTCAAGACCTAAGCTGTGACAGGAGCATTTGACCTTTAAATGCAGCTAATTCTGCTTCCAGGACACCAAATAACAGTGCTTAGCACAGAGTAAGGACTCAATACATAATAATGAAGTAATGTTAATTTTTATAGGAATCTTAAGTTGTTGTATAAAATTTTGCTATTTAGTAATCCAAGAAACCTTTACTAAAATAAAAAATCTTCATGGCAAAAAATTCTTATAAGCAAAGTCAAAAAAACAAATAAAAAACATATCACAGGGAAATGCAAATATTCATATTATACAAAGAATGTAGAAGACTGAAATAAACATTTCAATAAAAACATGGGCAAATATATGTGTAGACAAATCACCAAAAAAATACAGTGGCCTTTAAATAATGAGTCTTCACTTTATAAAAAGAACATGAATTTAAATTGTGCTGAAATGCTATTTTTCACTTAATCAGATTAGCAAAAATCCAATATTTTGACAATATGCATGTAGAAAAACAGAACTTTTATAACTTGCATGTGAGGATACAAATTGGTATAACACTACCACAATACCTACCAAAAGTACATATGCATTTACCCTTTGACTCAGCAGTATCACTTCTAGGGATCTATCCTGAGGAGTCACTGTCAATTATTCATTAGGTTACGTATTCATCACTATACAGGGAACTTATTGAATAAACTGTGAAAATGCATGATGCAGTAATAAAAAGGAAATGAGGAAGCTCTCTACTGATATGGTATCATCTCTAGGATATGTGTTAAGTGAAAAAAAGCAAGCTGCAGAAAAGTGTTTTTGTAAGAAAGGAGATAGTTTGCTTAAAATTTCAGGAAAAAACTAGGGGGAAAATGCGAACTCATAAAGATGGTTATCTATAAGGAGAGGGAGGGAACAGGAAGGGACAGAACCGGAATGGAAGCAAGACTATATATATGTAATTATTTTTACATAGTTCAAAGAAATCAGAAAGAAAAACCCCACAATTCCCTCAATTTAAAATAAACAGAAGCACTTGACCCTGGCTGTCTCTCAAGTTAGTGGCATGACCACACAGAAAATTACTATAAGTGACTTTTATTTTATTTATTTATTTATTTATTTTTTTTTGAGACGGAGTCCCGCTCTGTCGCCCAGGCTGGAGTGCAGTGGCCGGATCTCAGCTCACTGCAAGCTCCGCCTCCCGGGTTCGCGCCATTCTCCTGCCTCAGCCTCCCGAGTAGCTGGGACTACAGGCGCCCGCCACCTCGCCCGGCTAGTTTTTTGTATTTTTTTAGTAGAGACGGGGTTTCACTGTGTTAGCCAGGATGGTCTCGATCTCCTGACCTCGTGATCCGCCCGTCTCGGCCTCCCAAAGTGCTGGGATTACAGGCTTGAGCCACCGCGCCCGGCCTATAAGTGACTTTTAAACAATGTTTTGATACACATCCTAAAAGGGGTATACTAAAAGGACAAGAAAAATCACATCTTAAGCTGCATTGAGGAGTTTTTGTTTGTTTGTTGTTTGTTCTGAGAAGAGGCCTTGCTCTGTCACCCAGGCTGGAGTGCAGTGGTGCTATCTCAGCTCATTGCAGCCTCGACTGCTAGGGCTCAAGTGATCCTCCCACCTCACCTCCCTGAGTAGCTGGGGCCACAGGCACATGCACCACTACTCCTAGCTAGAGGAGTTTTAAAAACATGCATATTACAGTTTTACTTCTTTAATATATATTAGATGTAAATTACGTATTTCTATAACCAAAACCATTTTTATCATTTTATTTTACCATGCATGGTTTTATATTTACAGAGAGTTCCAAAGATATGAGAGTTCCCATATATCCTTCACCCAACTTCCTCTGTGTCAACATCTTACATAACCATGATACACTTATCAAAAGTAAGAAGTTAACATTGGTAAAATACATACTATTAATTATACTAGAGATTTTATTCAAATTTCTCCTGTTTTTCCAGTAATGTCTTCTTTCCATTCCAGGATCCAATCCAGAATGTCACGTTGCATTTTATTATATCTTCTTGGTTGCCTGACCTTTTATTGGTCTTTCCTTGTCTTTCGTGACCTTGACACTTCTGAAGAGTCAATAGTAAATTTGGCTAAGTGAAAGAATCCAATCTAAAAAGGCTGCATACTGTATGATTCTAACTGGAATTCTGGAAAAGGCAAAACTATGAAGACAGTAAAAAGCTCAGGGGCTGCCAGGGGCTAGGAGAAGGGAGGGATTAATAGGCAGAACACAGAGGACTTTTAGGACAGTGAAACTATTCTGTATGATACTACAATAGTGGATACATGTTATATATTTGTCAAGACTCATAGAATGTACTACACCAAGAGTATACTATGGCCTTTGGGTCATAATGCTGTGTCAATGTAGGCTTAAATGTAACAAATGTAACCACTCTGGTGGGGGATGTCATTCTAACAGTTATGTAGTGGTATCTTATTGTGGTCGTAATTCAATTTAATTACATTTCCCTATAACTAATTGTGTTGACCATCTTTCATGTGCTCATTTTCTATCCATGTATCTTTTCTGGTGAAGTGTGTTCAGATCCTTTGCCTGCTTTTTAATCCAGGTTGTTTGTTTTCATAACATTGAATTTCAAGTGCTCTTTATATATTCTAGGTATAAATTTGTTATTAGATATTTGATATACAAGTAGTTTCCCCAGTCTTTGAATTCTCGTACAGTGTCTTTTGCAGAGCAAAGGTTTTCCATTTTGATAAAGTCTAACTTATCATTTTTCCTTTATGGATTATGATGTTTGATAACATATCTAAATACTCATCACCAAACCAAAGGTCATGCAGATTTTGCCCTATAGAAAACAACGTTTCTAGAAGTTTTCCATTTTTGATTTCATTCTATGAACAATTTTGAGTCAATTCTTGGATAAGGTGTGAGGTTGAGGTTGAGATTTTTTTTTTTTTTTGCGTATGAGCATCCAATAATTCCAGCACCATTTGTTATAAACCGTTCTCTATCAAATTGCGTTTACACTTTTGTCAAATATCAGTTGATTATATTTGTGTGTATCTATTTGTGGGCTCTCTATTCTGTTCCACTGATATATATGTCTATCCTTTACCAATACCACATAGTCTTGAATACTGTAGCTTTATAGTTAGTGTTGAAATTCCGTAATGTGACTCCTCTGACTTTGTTAATTTTTTTAAAATAATTGTTCGGTTATTCTAGTTCCTTTGCTTTCTAATATAAATTTTAGAACCAACTTACTGGGATTTGGGGAGGGGAGGGACTATGTTAAATCTATAGATTAAATTTGGGACAACTGACATTTTAACAATGTTGAGTCTTCCAATCCATGAATATAATATATCTCTCCATTTACTTAGCTCTTTAATTTTATTCATTACAAACTGCATTCTTGGGATGACTGAACCCCATTTGGTTGTGACATATTTTTCCCTTTATATATTACTAGATTTGACTTGCAAATATTTTGTTTAGGATTTTTGCATCAAAATTTATGAGAGATATCAGAGTGTAGTTTTCTTGTAATTTCTTTTTTTTTTTTTTTTGAGACGGAGTCTCGCTCTGTCACCCAGGCTGGAGTGCAGTGGCCGGATCTCAGCTCACTGCAAGCTCCGCCTCCCGGGTTTACGCCATTCTCCTGACCACAGACGCCCGCCACCTCGCCCGGCTAGTTCTTTTTGTATTTTTTAGTAGAGACGGGGTTTCACCGTGTTAGCCAGGATGGTTTTGATCTCCTGACCTCATGATCCACCCGTCTCGGCCTCCCAAAGTGCTGGGATTACAGGCTTGAGCCACCGCGCCCGGCTCTTGTAATTTCTTTGTCTGGTTTGGTATTAGATAAATGCTGTCCTCATAAAATGAGTTAGGAAGCTTTCCTGTCTCTTCCACATTCTCAAACACATTGTGTAGAATTGGTGCTATTTCTTCCTTAAATATTTGGTAGAATTTGCCTGTAAAATTTCCAGGGCCTGGAGTTTTCTTACAGGAAGTTTTAAACTACAAAATCAACTATTTAATAGATACAGAAAATTTTCCATTATCTATTTCTTCTTGAATGAACTTTATAATTTCTGCCTTTTAAGAAATTAGTCCATTTTGTCCAAATTTTAGAATTTATAAAGAGTTGTTTGTACTGTTCCCTTATTATTCTTTTAATGTCTGTGATGTCTACTCTTTCATTCCTAATATTGGCAATTTGTGTTTTCTGTTATTTTTTCTTGGTTAGTTTAGCTTTAGGTTTACCAATTTATTGATTTTTCAAAGAATCAGCATTTAGTTTGTTTATTCTAATTGTTTTCCTGTTTTCAGTTTTATTGATTCTTCCTCTAATCTTTATATTTTTTTCCTCTACATATTTTGGGTTTAATTTGATCGTTTTTCTAATTTCTTGACGTGGGAGATTAGATCATTGATATGAGACTTTTCTTTTTCTTTCTCTTTTTTTTTTTCTTTTGAGACAGAGTCTCGCTCAGTCGCCCAGGCTGGAGTGCAGTGGCCTGATCTCGGCGCACTGCAAGCTCCGCCTCCCGGGTTCACGCCGTTCTCCCGCCTCAGCCTCCCAAGTAGCTGGGACTACGGGCGCCAGCCGCCGCGCCCGGCTAATTTGTTGCATTTTTAGTAGAGAGGGCTTTTCACCGTGTTAGCCAGAATGGTCTCAGTCTCCTGACCTCGTGATCCACCCGCCTCGGCCTCCCAAAGTGCTGGGATTACAGGCGTGAGCCACCGCGCCCGGCCGAGACTTTTATTTTTCAGTGTAAGCGTTGAAGTCTGTACGTTTCCCAATAGCTCCCACATTAGCAACTTCACACGAATTTTGATATGTTGCATTTTTATTTTCATTTCATTCTAAATGTATTTTAAATTTCCCTTAAAACATCCTAATTGACCCATGGTTATTTCAAAGTGTTTTTATTTAATTTCAAAATATTTGGAAGATTTTCCCAATCACTTTCTGTTACTGTTCTCTAGTTTAATTCCCTTATGGTTCAAGAATATGCTTTGTATGATTACTATTCTTTAAAAAGCTTTTCTATTCTTTTACATTTTGTGTTTAATGGCCTAAAAT